ACTTCACCCTGAGTCATAAGGAAAAGGGGACGTCTTGCTTATATGTTGTTTCATGAAATTCTTCTGTGTCTGCCAATTCCTTGCGATACAGTGACTCAGTATATTCTTTCCATCTTCTTTTAATATTTCCTCGATCACTTAATATTCTGTCTAAAGCATCCTTGATTATAGCAACTCAAGGTTTGAATTTGTTCTTCAGTTCCTTGAGCTTAAGAAATGCTGAGCAAGTTCTGTCCTTTTGATTTTCTCTCCAACTCCTTGAACATTTCATAGTAATATTTTACTTTATCATCCTGCGCTGTCTTTTGAAATCTTCTATTCAGCTCTTTACTATCTTGATTTCTTCCTTCTGCTTTGGCTTCTCTTCGCTCCAGTGCAATATTCAGTCTCTTCTGACATCTACTTTGGTCTTCTCTTCCTCTTCTGTCTTTGCAATGACCGTTTGCACTCTTCCTGGATGATACCCTTGATATCCTCCCACAGCTCATCTGGTCTTCACTCATTATTGTTCAAGGTCTCAAACCTGTTCGTAAGATGGTTCTGAAATTCAGGTGGGATAGACTCAAAGTCACATTTTGTTTCCCATGGAGGACTGTAAAATGGTACAGCCATTCTTGAAGGCAATTTAGTATTTTCTCAAAAAGCTGATACGGAAATTCCCTATGACCCAACTATTCCACTGCTCGAAATGCACCTCAGGGAAATAAGAACTGAGACAAAACTGTACACCAATGTTCATAGTAGCATTATTCAAATTTTAAAAATGTGGAAACAGCCTCAATGTCCAACAATGATCAAATGGATTGAGAAATTATGTTACATTTACATGATGGAATACTATGCAGCATTCAGGAGCAATGATATTAAAAAAACAGTACAAAACCTACGAGATACTGGAAAGAGAGTGAACTCATTTGCATATGGACAAATATTGCAGAAGATCATTTATGTAAAAATAAAAGGGTAACTGATAAAATGTGTATGAGGTCCAAGGGTGGAAGGGGAAGTCATTAGGTCAGAGAATTTGGTGGGCAGAGGGATGGAGGAAGGAAATGAGAAATATTTTGTGAGGACCAGAAAGACAGGGTAGTGGTGGACACAGATCAATGATTAATTTTATAAATCACAATGTTAGTCTGAAACAGAGTATGAATAAAAATGTAATACACAATGTATAGAAATTCTGTATGCAAACCAATATAAAATTTAAAAAGGGGGAAAAATTTAAAAAGGCCATCTCTGGTTCAAATCCACCAGATAGATGCTCTGCTGGAGAAGGAGGGGCAATCTCTTCCTGTACTAGTCTGACTTGACAGCTGTTGTTATGTGCCGTCGAGTTGCTTGCGACTCAGAGTGACCCTATGTACAATAGCTCTAAACTCTGCTCTGTCCTGTGCAAATTGCACTGTCTCTGACAAACCCATCCCAATTACCTCAGTCACTGAATCAATCCACCTCACAGAGGGCCTTCTCCTCCTGCACTGTCCCTCCACCCTCCCAAGCATGATGTCCTTCTCCAAGGACTGGGCCCGCCTTACAACATGTCCGAAGTAGGTTAGACGGAGCCTCAGAATCCTTGCCTCCAGGGAGCCGCCCGGTTTAACCCATTCCAGGATGAATTGGTTTGTTTCCTAGCAGTCCATGGTACCCTCAATACTCCTCTCCAGCACCACAGCTCAAAGGCATCATTCTCCTTCTATCCTCCTTGTTCACTGTCCAACTCTCTGATCCATAACAAGTGATAGCAAAGACCATGGCCTGTATCAGATGCACCTTAGTCTCCAGAGACACCACTGCTCTTCAAAACTTTGACAGTACACACACACAAAAGAATACAATATTTAAAAAAACACAATTCTTAAAGAAAGATCATCTCTAGTTTCATTTGGAAAAACAGACCCTGAATGACCAAAGTTCTTTAGACATAGTTGACCAATTCAGCAAAGTAGCAGGATACAAGATCAACATACAAAAATCAGTTGGCTTTCT